GCTGATAGCTGGCCGACCCAATTGGATGGTACTATATCAATGTTCACATTAGCGTTTATGGACTATTACGTCAATATTTCGTTCTAAATAAGATTATGAAGAGAGAAGTGGGTGGTACCTCTTCTTAAAATTCTAAAAATCGATGAAAACCTTCAATGAATTGATGAAATTCCTAAAATCGATGACAACCTTCAATTAATTGATCAAATTCCTGAAATCGATGACAACCATCAATGAATTCATGAAATTCCTGAAATCGATGACCACATCCATTGAATTGATGAAATTCTGAAATCAATGGCAACCTTGAATGAATAGATGAAATTCCTGATTTCGATGACAACCTCCGAGGAATTGATGAAATTACTGAAATCGATGGCAGCCTTGATTGATTTGATGAAATTCATGAAATCGATGCAACCTTCAGAAAATTGATAAAATTCCTGAAATCGATGACCGCCTTCATGGAATTGATGAAATTCCTGAACTTGATGACAGCCTTGAATGAATTGATGAAATTCCTGACATCGGTGGCAATATTCGATGAATTGATAAATTTCCCAGAACTAGGATCGTCAAATATTATGCGGTGTTTGCTCGCTCATGTTCAAGTTGTGTAGTTGTTAGTAGTATATCTTAGATTCGTGTTAGCATAAGATAGCCTCTGTAAGAAATTAAAACACGAATAAAGCAAATCATCTTCACGGATTGGGAGTAAGCACTCAACCCACTTGCCGCCTATGTAACCTTCAGTTGGAAATAAAGAAGACCCACCTGATTCGGTGTCCAGCTCTAAAGACAACGACAGAAACCCAGAGATACTGGGAAGCAAGAAGACGGCTAATGAACTGCTATTTATTAACTGCTATAAATGTACCCCCCCCCCCCCCCCACCACCCTTGGGGGAAGCTGAAGTCAAAGTTTAAGGGCTAATGATAAATATCATAAAGCCCGCCATTGAAAAAATATTTGTTCTAATATAGTAGAAATAATGACGAAAAAATATTAATGATATTTCTATATAATTTGACAATATAATTGAATACTTTAAAACCGATTTATAAAAAGAAACCTAATAATATCACTAACACTATTGTTAAAATTATGAAAATATGAACATGACACAATCATGACTTAAAGAAATTGAAACATAAATTGAGCACTGACTTAGCACATTCTCTCTCCTCGACCCTCTAATTTGTGAATTTTCTAAACTCAAAAGTTGATTAACTGAGAATTTTATTCACCGAGTGAACAAAACTTTAATCATATTAAAATAAGTGGCTAATGGAATTGCCAACTTAGAGGGGGATTGGTCAGTTCTAGATCGATATTCCTGTTCAACTCAACTCATAAATTTTTTAAAATTAAATTAATTAAAATGATTGAAATTTTTTTCACTCGGTAAATAAAATCATTTTAATCAATTTAATTTTAAATATTTTTTATGAGATGATTTTTTTCACAGAGAATGTGGTAAGTCAGTGCTCAATTTATGTTTCAATTTCTTTAAGTCATGATTGTGTCATGTTCATATTTTCATAATTTTAACAATAGTGTTAGTGATATTATTAAGTTTCTTTTTATAAATCGGTTTTAAAGTATTCAATTATATTGTCAAATTATATAGAAATATCATTAATATTTTTTTTCGTCATTGTTTCTACTATATTCGAACAAAAATTTTTTCAATGGCAAGCTTTATGATATTTTACATTAGCCCTTAAAACCTTGACTTCAGCTTCCCCCATTGGTGGGGGCTACATGTATTGCAGTTAATTAAAAGCAGTTCATTAGCTGTTTCACATATATAGCAGTTAATTAATAGCAATTCATTAGCTGTCTTTTTGCTTCCCAGTATCTCTGGCTTTCCGTCGTTAGGGCTGGACATCGAATCAGGTGGGTCTTCTCCATTTCATAGGGCTGGACACCGAATCAGGTGGGTCTTCTCCATTTCCAACTGAAGGTTACATAGGCGGCAAGTGGGTTGAATGCTTACTCCCAATCCGTGAAGATGTTTTGCTGTATTCGTGTTTTAATTTCATTAAGTGGCTATATAATGCTAACACCTATAAAAGACATACTATAAACAACTACACTTCCTCATCTTACCCCAACTCTTGTTGCTGTGGGACGCGCATGCAGAGAAGGTGAATTGGTAGAGTTGTTCATGCGCCAATTCAGCCTTTAACTGAGAAGTGGGAAGGCTGAGCAATTTGATTAAAATCGGCCATCCAACTTTCCACCACAGGGCAGGATCAAATGCTGTGAGTTGACGCATTTGTATTGAAGTGGGATGAACAATGTAGGAGGATGTGGTGTATCAGGCAGTAGACTAACTGATAAATGACGGTTAATTTCGCTACTCCATAACCTAGTGGATTACTACAGAAATAAGCCTCGACTTATACCCACTAATCTCTATGGCAAAATCACCTATGTAGAGGAAATATACTCTATTTTGGTTGTGAACTCTGTTATAGATCCCCTCTCTATAATGGAAATGGGAGCTACGCTGACTCTCTAATGACTATTGATTACTAATTGGTTGAGAGGTGTCTACAGTCATGACAGTAGTATCCCCTGCCGCATGCTCCAGAATGTTTTGATGAGTGTGAGATTGTTTAGCTTGATCGTTTTAGGAAAGTGCGCTCAACAGCACTGAATTACTAGCCCACTTCCTAAGCCCGATAAAGCTCTTACTCTCCGTCTTCTTATTCACTCCTTAACCATTGACTATTAAAATGAGACTGGAAAACGGAAAAGTAGTTATTGCTGCAAACGGGGGATTGCAAACAGCAGAGTTTTGACAAAATGTGAATTTTCATAAACATATTACGTTGCCCAAAATTTAAGAGCGCCTTTTTGTAGAAAGTCACAGGTCGAATGAGCAATCGCTAACACTATGTTATCTACTTGGGGTGTGCGATAGACTTACCTCCACGTGGTGCACCCTGGGTAACGTATACTCATGCGGCAAAAAAGTCTATTAATAGGGAGTTGACTTCTGACTTCAAACTACCATGATCTCACTGTATGTCATAGTTTCTGACTTCAAACTACCATGATCTCACTGTATGTCATAGTTGACCACTTCTATAGTATTCACCTTACCCTACTCTCTATCATTGTGTCTGTCTCTTTTATATCTGCGAATCACTCTTCAGTCCACCCTCTTGAACTTTGATGTTTTTCCCCTCTGTGAAGTTCGAAGTCAGCTAAGGGCTAATGATAACTATCAAAATGCCTGTCATTCGAAATAAATAAATAAATGTTATCTACTTCGTAACTACAGGGTGCTCCAAAAAACGGATACATATTGAAACTAATTGTAAATGTCCGTTCAATTAGAATTTTATCATTTCAAAAGCGTACAAATATTTGTAAAGTATAATTGAGGTGTTTTTCAAACCTTGTTCTCAAACTGACGTCCATTTTGATCCGGTCACTGCTGACAACGCCAAGCAGTGGAATCGCACACATCATGAAATAATTACCTTGGGATTTAGACGCATTTATGCCCAATGTCTTCTCTTAATCCAGTGATTGTTGCAGATTTCGTAGCGTAGATTTTGTCCATTAAGTATCCCCCATAAGAAGAAATCAATTGGTGAAAAGTCTGGTGAACGGGGAGGATGTTCAAAAAACCTCTTCATCTTTTTTACCTGTTTGCCAAGACCTCATCAAGGAAAGACCTAACATCACTATAGTAATGTGTGGGGTGCCCCATTTTGTTGAAAATAAAATTCTTCAACTTCAAGGTCTTCTTTAGCGCTTGGCATAACAGAGTGCTGCAGAAAGTTCAAGCAACTGGGACCGGCTACAGCAGCGTCAAAAAGAATGGTCCAATTAATCTTCTTGACGATAAACCGCACTGCACTGTAATTCCAGGTAAATTGACATGACGATAGACAGTAACGTGCGAAGTCTCAGGTCCCCAATAGGTACGATTACGGTGGCCAATGTAATCATTTAACTTGAATGTGACCTCGTCACTCTGCACAATCTTGAAAAATCCACTTTTCCGACGCGTTGTTCTAAATGCAACTCGAAGTATTGTACTCTTCGGTCTAGATCTTCGTCAATAAAAAAACAATGAAATGATAATTTTCCACAATGTACACATTTGAAATAATAATGAACACTATGTTTACAATTATTTTAGTGTGCATAAATTTTTAGGGACATCCCGTATGTTGCATCCTCTGAGCAGCCATAAGACTGATTTATCAGTACATAAGCACATTCCTTATAAGCGAAATCAAGTACTGAAGATGGGTTGAAGGTTCACAGTTTTAGAAGATCGAATCCCAAAATTCCACTTACCGTCCCTAGGATCCTCCTACAGTTATTGATCAATTACCGTTGTAGTTCATTAATTGGCAAGTTCAACTGGGTGTATTGACACTTGAACACTAGGCTGACTCTTACTGGACACCAGGAATGGAAAAGGCAAATTGTGCAAAATGGAAGTGAGCCACACAACAAATGCGAGCATATGTCTACACCTGTGCTGGTATAGGCCAAGCATGAATAAGCCAATACTCAAGATCTCACGTCCTAAAGGAAAGATATATTTTGGAAACTACATCGACTTGGAACACCTACAATATCGTCGATTAAATGCGTTCAGATCCAGCATGCATGCGGTGAATCAAACGCTGATTGACAAAATAAAGCACATTTGTTATTCAAATACCGTTTCCATACCACTAAATCCAAAATGTATATACAAACAAATCCACTAAGCTCATACCAAACAAATTAACCCATCACCATTTGGATGGCGAAAAGTTAGTTAAGCTACTGCCACGTTGGCCTAATAAAAGTACTGAAATAAAATGAAATGGGTTGACTAGTTCTATCAAGATTAAGACATAATGACCAACGACCCATCCAAGAATTGCATTTATATTGAGTTCAAGCACTCAGATCAATATAAACGCAATAATACACAGAGAAGGCATCAAATTTGGACAAAAAGATAACATGACTGTTTTTTATTGTGAAGTGGGTCCAATCATTGCACCAAGACTATTCTGAACGACCCGTAGGCCAGATTCCCATTCCTTCAGTGTGAGGTAGAGGCTCTGCCACTGAGAACGGCCAAAAGTGCGAGGCAGAGCGCCAGTGATGAGGATACGTTGATTGATCTGATCCAACTTGCAAGTTATTACTTTCTGTTGAACAGCTAGAAACAAATAAAAAAACAACAATCAGTGACGCTGTATTAGATCACTACCATGATCTGTGCATTACAAAGTTCGCATGTGTGAAGCTCAACACTCGTCCATGAGAAAATTAAAATATTACCCAATTTAATAGAACACCACTAAACGAGCCCATTTAATGGAGATATTCTTCATTCATTGATCTTGGTAGATGAGCAGCATACCGAATCCAGCTTGATTAGAAGCACGTATTCTACCACATTTCATAAGCACACGTCGGTATACTTGAATAAACTATGCACCAAATGAAGGTCGATTAACACCAAGCACGTAGAATTTGAATAAAGATGTACACTTGGACTACAAATACCACCTCAATAGTTGCTTGTAAATGAATGTATCACGAAGCCACATTAGGCATGACAATGGTGATTTTGTAAATTAGGAATTAAGAAGACGTTAAGGTACAGTAATAGGCAACATATGCGTAATTACAAAGATTGAGAATGCTGATAACTACGTACTTCCAGTTGCGAAGCATGAAATGACATAGCAACTTACCTTCAATTATGAAAGACTCCAACTGATCTTTAGGAACGCCAAGCCTCTTGCAAGCTGTAGAATAGTCCAGTTCTCCAGCATTCTCGGCAATTTCCATCAAGGTGAGAGTTCTCAACTTATCAAGGCAAATCTTCTCATCGAGCCCGTTGTCAGCCAAAAAGGAAGGGTGCTTTTTGTTGAAAGAAATGAAATCGGCCAAACCACCGGAAACATATACTTCTAAGAGCTAAGCATACAAGTGGATAAGAAAGTTTCATCGTACTAACCTTGTGAATTGGTTCTCCTTCGAGAAATTGAACCGGTTTTAAAGACATAAGCCGACCATGGTCCAAAATGCTCGGGTCCTTGATAACAGCCACGATACACCTACAAGCATCATCCCGAGCGCCAGCTGCCTTCCCATCGGTATAAGTTGAAAGAAGGTGAATCAAAGCCTGGGTAGCGAGCTTAGTGTTATTATTAGCTTGATGAATAGCAGACATCTGTCTCCACAAAGTCTGGCACTCAATAGGAGTACAATTGCACTGCTTCAGCAATCTTTCAACCATTTCAGTTTCCGTGTGAATATGAGCGAGTTTGCCAAGGTCAGATGCGCAAGTAACGAGAGCTCGGTATATACGATAACGGGAATGATGATCTTCGGGCAATCCATTGAACAAAACATCCAAAGAATAAAGTTTCCCGAAGTGCTTTCGGTTCTTTTCATCAGCAAAATCCTCATATAGCTCACACAACTTAGTTATGGCATCATCAACAAATTCTGACGGCAAACGCATGATAAGAGATGAAACCGTTACTAAAAATGAGCTTTCCTCTGAGAAATTTGTAATTATGACAAAAAAACAGAGTCTACCAGTTTCAGAAACTTTGTCATTCCTGAAGACAAATTTTAGTTGTGGAATGCAATGGACAAATGCTTCGGGCCAATTGTTGTCATCGACTTCACATTTATCAACAATATCGGCACCAAATTTTCTCAAATAATTTCTGAGCTCCTCAACCTATAGCTTTATAAATTTTTAAACTTAAATTTACCTGATCAGCCTCAGTACAATCAATAAACATAGGCGGAGCCATGCTATATAGTAAGACAAATTACACAACCAGGTCACGGTGCGTCAATGAACGTCATCAGCAGTATACAAGCTAAAAAAGCAATTTAGAACTAATAAAAAATTAACGGTATTTTATATGCCCATTGTTAGAACTATAAAACAACAACAATTTTTCATATTTATTTACTGAGAACTAACTGTCAGCACTTAAATAACAAAATAGATATTCTTATTCCATTAATAATATCCAATATATTATTAAACACCTTTACGCGTTGCTAAAACATTTTCAATTTTGTAAATCTATTTTAAATTTATTCGATTTGTATGTTATAAACAAATAAGGAATTAATTAGCGCTTATAATAATCTACCATTGCTATGATTTGCGTACATTGTCCTATTTTGGGAGAGAAATTATTGATAATATCCAAACAACAAACTAGGTAATAAATGTGGTTCCTGTCATTTACGATTAATAGTGCGGCACTATTTGAGCAAATTGATCTACCGCAAATATTCTCCAAGAGTTCACTTTTGTAAATCTGGCAGCATTCATTGTTAGGACACAGACAACGGCTATTCTAACAACTGTACAAACAAACTATGAGAACTCGAACTTAGAGGGGAACGTTATGATAACATTTTGATCTTTCAGCAACAAAATGCACATCCTCAGTGCCTATGCGCCCAATAACTAATTCAATACAATAATCGAAACATACATTAGTTAGGCTAATATGTATATATCATTAACCTACACAAATAGCCTTTTGAAATGCCTATGCATCAGTATTTTAATCTCTCAGGAAAACAAATATATACACACTTAAAAAGATTTAGAATTAAATAAGCCAACTAAAATTTCTAAGCAGCTTGATCGCACCGATATTAAATTAATACATAGCTTTTCGAATTTTCGTGGATATTTTATAGAAGCAATTCTCTTATATTACTTATAAGACAAAGATTTATTCAAGAATCTGCTTCAAGTGGCTTTGTCGCTTAATACTATCTTAAACCATTTGGAAACTAAGACACTCTAAATTTACCAGAATAGTTAATTATATACCAATATATTTTCAATAGCATAAAAATAAATTTTTACAGCATTTCGGCACTCCTTATTCCTCTCAGGATCTGGAAATGGGGGTAGAAAATTCACTTCATATCCGACATACTTAGGTATTTTAGTTCAGAAAATATCAGATATACCGGGTTACATACCATGTTCTGGTGCAGGTGTCCACTCTGTACTCTCCTCTTTCTTTGAATCAGTGAGCTATGATTCAATGGTCAATCACCTTAAGGACTGTTGAATTTATGAAAAACAAACGGCATTTTTTTGGATCGTGTACTGTTAAGGTTTATTGGCTCGTTAAAAAGGGATAGCATGCGACATTCGAGAAATCCCCGACACTTGTTTGACTAAATGATTCTCTAGAATGCATTAGAGACACTGAGAGTTCGATGTAATGAGCTCGTTACACCTTGAGGTCTGGAATTCTCTTCTGATTAAGGCCTTCATTGTGTGGAAAGATATCGGCCGGTCCAAGCATTGCAAAATCCTTGTCCCCTTCTTAGCAAGTGTGTCAGAAAGCTCATTGCCTTTAGTGCCACCGTGACCAGGAATCCATTGTAGCACCAATGTTTCTTTTTTCTCTCTCAGCAGCTCATAGAGATTTCTACATTCCATTATCTCAGCTGTTTTGGGTGGCTCTCTGTTTCCAATTGAGTCCTCAGCTGTTTTGGGTGTCTCTCTGTTTCCAATAGAGCCTTAGCTGTTTTGGGTGGCTCTCTGCTTCCAATTGAGTTTATTCCTCCGCAGCTCATAGAGTTTTCTACATTCCTTTATCTCAGTCTCCTCTGTTTCCAATTGAGTTTATTGCTGACTGTGAGTCCGAGAGTATTACTGCTTTGGTGAATTTCGTATCCAGACAAAATAATTGGCATAATGCTATCCTAATGGTCTCTATTTCTAATTCGAAAGCGGATCTATTTTGTCCCGCTGCTGCGAAGAAAGAGGAGAGTACAGAGTAGACACCTGCACCAACATTTGCTTGGTTTTTTTTGAAGCGGGTTTATGCTGTGACGGGCCAAAGAAAATGTTTGGAATGCAGTATATACGGTGTTGATAACCATTCCATTGTTGTCGCACCAGTTTGCTGGTAGTTTAAGTGCACAATTCGGAGCACTTTCCGTCCGCTCCTGAGTGTTTTTCTCAGGGGCGAAATACCATAGAACAAGATCAATTTCCTTAGGGGCGGAATACCATAGTACCAGATCATCTGAGAAAATAGGGGCGGAATACCATAGAACAAGATCATCTGCATAAAGTTTTCACGTACGCCCGTGACTGTCTGTACCAATTCGGCTATGTCAATGATGAGATTGATGAAGACATTGAAAAGAATGCAGCTTGTGACAGCTGCATGTGGAAGTCCTGTTTGTAAGAGATTGGATTTTTGATAGAGCATTTCCATATCATACTGTACATGATCTTCGTCCAATGAATGTTTTTATCCAGTTTAGCATGTTATGCCTAATACCAATCTTTGTTAATTTTAGAATTAGCTTCTCTTTCCATACTAGAGAATTAGCTTCTCTTTCCATACTAAGTCATATGCTGACTGAACCGTAAGGGTATTTCTTGCATCAAGTGCATCTTTGATGTGCTGGGAGAAAGTGGCTACTTGTTGGTTTGTCGATATTTGTGGCCTAAAACCTGCTTGTTCGATTCCAAGAATATTGTTGGTCTCAAGGAACCAGATCAGTCTCCTGCTAACCATTCTTTCCATAAGTTTAACAAGAACGCTCCCTATAGTCGTCAAAGTTGCTAGGGTCTTTGCCCTTTTTTTACTGGTATTACTATGACAATTTTCCATTGGGTAGGTTCGAGATTAGCCACGCAGATTTTATTGAAAAGTGTCAGCATGGTTTCCTTGGCTATTGATACCATTCTAAGTAGAACTTCCAGATGAATACCGTCTTTGCTAGGAGACTTTTTGTACTTTAGCTGTTTAATCGCAGCATTAAGTTCGCAAGGTCTGAATGATTCAGTAAGTACATTATTTGGTAATTTTGTGTCTTCCTTAGTTTCACCACATCATTTGGTGTTGCGTCTTCCTTAATTTCACCAAACTTTTGTATCTTTAAATCTCTTGAAGATTTTCTGACAAAAGGGCTTTTCTTTTGCTTGTGGGAACAGAACATCGAAAGTAGTTCGCTATTTCAGAGTCGGTGGTGAGCTGTTTGTTGTTTAAGCGTATTGGTTCTTTCTTGGGTCTTTCTCTGTTGTGTTGGAGGTTACAAAAGGAATTTGAAAGTGCGTTGGCTATTACTTGGATAGTTGATATTCGAGATGAAGTTATCAAAGGTAGTCCGTCTGACTTTTAAGATGGCTTGCCTTAGGACAGCTGATTATCGTCTCCAGGCTTGTACGTCTTCAGTTCTCCAGTCTGATCAGCAGTGTTGCAAAGGGCATCCCACTTTCTTTTCCGTTCTGTTCAGACCAAAACACTCGACAGTGTTTAGTCTTGCCTCTGGGAATAGTTTTCTTTGCACATCTAATCATAATATTCGTGATTCCGTTGCAAAGTTTGTCAGGATGTTGATTTAAGTTGAGGGGACTTGTGTGAAGTTCATTGTCTAAAAGGTTAGTGAATCTAGACCAGTCAGCCTTCTTGAAGTTCCATGATAGCTTAGTTGGCACTCTTCTTGTCATGATTTTGCTGCCGATGGTAATACTAGCAATGACTGATTTGTGACCAGAACCAGGATCGTCCATTATTTTGCGGCGTGTATGCTCGCTGATGTCGCTTGAAGCCAGGAGTAAGTCAGGAGTTGTTCTGGTTCCATTGTAGTGCAAATATGTATCCGGATCCTCATTGGTGTAAATAAGTTCCAGACGGTTGCTGTTTACCATGTCTTCGATTTCCTTTCCAGCTATGTTTGTATCCTTGTAGCCCCATCTGGTGGAATGGGCGTTGAAGTCTCCTAATACTATAGTTTTGTGTGAGATGTTCAGAAAGTCAAAGTTGGGACAATTCTGGGGTTGATTATAGACTGCATATATCTTGAAGTGATTTTGACATTGCCAAACATTTAATCTGATTCTAAATTTCAATTTGTCTAGGGACTTAAATAATATCTTTTTCAACTCGAAAGTAATATTATCAAAATGTTGATACGATCTTGGATTTGCTAATTAACCTTAAATTTCTGTCAGACGATAAATTCACTTTACTCGTTCTAAATTAGATTCAATAAAACTGCAGAATTTATATAGCCTCCTAATGTACGATTTCCCAATAATACTACTGTTTGAAGTTACATTCATTCAACGATAAGCTTAAAATTAATAATATTCTGACATCAAAATACTTTCCACGTCATATATAAAGAAGGCCAATGCAAACATTCCATTTGGGTCATTGAGCTTTTAATAAGCTTACTAAATAGTTCAAAGAGTAGTCAATTTTAAGAGTTTAAGGTTATATGCATATTTTTAAATATTAATATTAAAAACAAATGTCTATTTGCTTTATTCTCCGTGTTTAAATGAAAAATATGAAAAATTAAAAACATGATATGACCTTGGAGGGGACATGCCCCGGAGGCTTGTTCAGCTAGTCGTTGGTTTGGACTTTCCAGTTTTGTCCTTTTGATTACGTGTCTGAATTAATGTTGTCTGCTTCTAATCAAACTCCAATTGAAATTTTGCAAGAATATGCTAGCAAAAGGGCTCTAATAGTACACTACGAAATGGTGGCAAATGAAGGTGAAGCACACGAACCAATTTACGTCTTTCAATGTAGAGTTGGTAAAGTATCAGCCTGTGGGAAAGGTACGTATTATTTTTTTAACAAATATCTCCTCCTTTAGGTCCAAGCAAGAAAAAGGCCAAACATCTTGCGGCCTATTACGTTCTTTTGCAAGTGATCAGTCAGAATCCAACTTCACACGCAGATAGGGCAGCTCTGAGCTCAATGAAAGGTTCACTTGCCGTGCTTGGGATTGATATTAACGGTGACGCTTCAAATATAAATAGTCTGAGCGCTGCAGCAACTCGAGTGCAAGTTAATTACGTCAGTAAAGTTCAAGAATACTGCGACAAAAACATGTGGCCACCTCCTACTTATGAATTCAAAGACTCCCCAGATTCAATTATCCTAGGAGGGAAGTTCCAATGCAAGATACTCCTATGGCGGTGGGAGTTTATTGCTTACGGCAACTCTAAAAAGGAGGCTAAACGGAAAGTTGCAGCGGAGTTTGTTAAGGAAGTAATCGAACGGGGATTAACTATCCCTAGTGAAGCGATCGAAGCAATGGAGGAAGAAAACCTGCCTTTAGTTGACAAACAAGATCTCAACAAGTTGAAAGTTAGACAGAGCACTCAGGAGACGGCAAATAAATTGACACGAAAAATTCTTTCTGGGATTTACACTGCTAAAGGAAGGGTATTAAATGTTAATGGGGAAAATTTATCCTCCCCTGTTCTAGACATTTATGCTGAACTTCAGCGAGTGCTGGAAGAGAATAGTATCACAGTTTTCTATTCCTATATAGCCAAGACCAAATCAGGTGAGTTTAATCAGTGTAGAAATAACGTAATGTTTTTTATGAAACGAAGATACAGTATTTACTTCATATTTCTGTATGAAATTAGGTTTCGAACTCTTCTCCTATACATAAATTTATTGTCATAAACTGTTAAATGGATTAAACGCTTTCTAGTTGGTAAAACTTCGTGAATTTATTGAAACTGTTGTTTAAGCTGAGTTAGGGTTTGTTGCTGTAACTAAGCACCCAATTATTTTCATTTTTTTAGATCTATGCGAAGTATTTTTATATACCAGATTCCTGATTGACGGCTTTTTCAACGTTTGAAATCACGATTTTCTATTATTCTAAATGTTTTGAATGAATTTCACTTGTCACCCACTTTGTGCATGATAGTAGTATATCGCTCCTTTAGAAGTATAATTCAAAGGGTCATTAACCTTGGTCCCAATAAGCCCCTTCAAGTATGTTTAATATCTACCAATCTTGGTCATTCATCCCTTACCTGTAAATTTCACAGGCATTGTGCATTATTTATTTATTTATATCAAATGGCAGGCGTCTTGATGGTTATCATTAGCATTATTTGAAGTGATGTATTGGAGGATACTTGTCAGACGCCTATCTCTGCAGAGAAAGGCATTTATGACGAGTCCTTATCTAAATAACGTCCTGCCTTCCAGCAAAGCAGCTGTGGAAACTTTGGCATATTGAGTCAATCTTGTGGTTTAGAGCAGATGTCAGATGTAGGCACAGAATGAGAATTCTGGTGAAATAACGAATCGCGAAAAACACTAGTGACAAAGTACAATTTCTTTCTTTCATTTCAACGAGCAGGTC